AGGAAGGAAGGAAGGAAGGAAGGAAGGAAGGAGAAATAGAAGGGTTCTTCCTCAATGTCCTAAGGTCACACTTACTGTACTTCACTGATACCAATGACACTGTCTACTTCCACTGCCCCTGTGTTTCTATTCACTTTACACATTTAAACAACAACAATGGACTGAGGATGCAGCTCTGAATGATAAGACAGGGAGCAGAATAGAGTGTGCTCTACAAGGACAAGATCATCAGAGTCGTGGGATGAATGACAGGTGGGAACATGGCAAGGTCATTAGGCTAACTAAGATTTATACACAGTAAACACAGTAAAATAAGAAATCACTTGGCCAAGATGCGTTTTGAGCTGATTCACATGTATTAGTGAGATATAACCAGCCATGTAGACACTGTGTCACAGGGGAGCCACCGGAGTTAAGTCCTGGCAGGAGTCTTGGGCCCAGAAAGTCACATTGTCAGTGTCTAAGAACAGGAGAAGTGGACACACCAGCTCAAACAAAGCTTGCATTCAGTCTCCTGGGACCTCTACCTGCACCTCTAGCATGGCACAGCATGATGTCTGTCCTCACTGGGAATGGTGTTGCTGTAGATGATTGATGAATCTGCTAATTAATGCTTTGTGGGGCAAGCTTAGCCCACTCACACTGACTCAGAGAGTCAACCAAAACAGGAAATCCAGGCAAGTCACGAACCCGATTACTGTTGTATACAGTTCTGATAGGCTGGTTTGTCTTTTCCGGGAATTATACATTGACATGTATTTGCAAGTGATCCTTTGTCCCCTGGTGGTGCATACCACAGTTTTCACCAGGATCAGGACCATGCTCTGGGCACTCTGTACCTGAGCACCTCAGCAGTCCAGACAAACTCCAGCTTAGTTCACACATTGCAATACATATTATAGAATGAATTTACTGTTTTCTTCTTTTGAACTTGGATGAACAGTATTTACTGTATTTATTACAGCATACTTTCATTGTTGAATGAAGCAAGCCAATAGAGGAAATGTAAGTTTCTTAAAGCCCCATCACCTGAATGACAGCCAACAGGATGTCACCTCCTCCTGCGACATGGCTCTCAACTTATGAGGAGGCTCTTCTGATCAGAGTCTGCTTATGCAAAATAAAAATTCAAGGCTTGGTATCTACATATTCATCTGTTAATATTTCTGTCAGATTTACTAAATATTTTTCTTAGAGAGTCTTAAAGGATGTATTGTGTTTGATGGGCCATGTTTAGTTAGAACAAAATTAATTTTAAACCATAATTATAATTATCTATTAGAAGAAAATATTAGGGAGTAGTTTAAAAGGGTAAAAAGCATCTGTGTAACAAGAAAGAAAGTAGAAATCACTACATATTAACAGATTGACTGAAAGTCATACAAACTATCTTCCATTAATCTTGGATATAGAATTTAACCTTGTCTTTTATTTTGCCAAGAATGTCACAAATTTAGACAAGTGTTCAATCTCTTGTTCACATCTCTATAGAGAAGAAGAAATTGAGTTGTGATCTAGAGCTAGCAAGAGACCACAAAATACAAGCACAGAGACCACTGCTGGCTGTGGTAATGCTGATAATCAGCTCAAGGAAACTGCAGTTCAAGGTCAACCAGGCTATGCACCTCTGGTTTTAGCCCTCAGCACTATAATCAACCAACCAGCCAATCAGTATTATTAGGGGCAGCATGTCAGAGCCCACAGAACTGAGTCTGTTCCACTTTGACTAAAGGTCAGAGAGTGCAGGCCTATTTTTGTTCCTTCAAGGTTATTGACAAGAGGTCTGACCTAAGGTGTCGTTACTAACAAGATATCTTGATTCAGGGTATGATTAATTGGTGTTTTGGGTATTAAGATGGACCATACAGGTCGACCCCTTCCACCCTGATTAAAGATTGTAGAGTTCATGCCTATTCCTGCTCCTTCAGGGATATGACAGGAGGTTTGACTGAGGGAGTGGCTGCCTACAGGATGCTTGGCCTAAGGTCCACACCTTAGGTCCCTGCATGTCCTACCTAAAAAACAGAACACTTAACTCAGAGTACAGTTGCTTGATCTTCAGGTACTGAAGAGGTAATGTTCTTTCTCTCATGTTAAAGCAGTCTTTAGCGTTCTTCCCTCCCTTTTTGGATTGGAGTATATAAGCATATGGAAAATAAATGTGGGATAATTCGGCATTCACTAAATAGCCCTTCCAGTTCTATTCTGTGCCTCTCTATCTCTGTTCTTTCTGCCTAAAATTTCTAATCCACATGCCCCTACTCTGGAACGTGTGAACCCCATCAAGGAAGTACCACGACAGTAGCATACTTCTGTAACCCCTACTTAAGAGGCTGGAGCAGGACTGTGATGAGTCTGAGGGCTGCCTGTGTTACATTATGAGTTCTAGGATAGCCTTGTCTACATGACAAACAACCAGACTTTCCCACAAAATGAAAATAAAACTGGAGACAAGCAAATGGTATACAATGGTACTCTCACCCATACCATGGATTCATGAATTCAGGAATCATCATTCACATCTTAGTAAGACAGAGCATAGAAAGAGGAAAAAATTGTTCTCGGAAATTATGGGTGAACTCATGAGAATTCAGTGTGACTCTGACTTATACTTAAATATGACAAGATTTTTCCTGTAAATTTTCAGGAAACAAAAATCTCTCTAATGCATAAAATTTAATCTCTCTAATGCATAAAAATAATCACAACCCCATTTTTCTCTTCTCCCTTTTTCTATTTGTAAGCCCTGTATTTCTAGTTCTTTAAAACCTTGAATTCCACCTATTTCTATAGGATCTGTGATTTGTGGTTGGACAAAGCCTATCAGAATAGAGGCTTTCCTGACAACAGCTAAAAACACATTTTAATAATATTAAATGTGACATTTAAGTCTCTAGTTATAAAGAAATATGGAACTAGTGAGGCACATGCCTAAAACCCAGTAATGTGAGGCAGAAATAAGAGGATGGTCACAGACTCAAAGCTAGCCTGGAACTACAGAGTTCCAGGCTAACCAGGGTTACCTACTGAGAATTTTGTTCTGAACAAAACCAAATGCTAGAGTAAATAAATACAGAAATATATATATATTTAAAAAATAAGATATATATATATATATATCTTATTTTGTGATAAATTAAGGTCTAGTTTCTAATTAATATTTCATATAGAAGTACTAAGAAGTGTATTTGGAAGATTTGCATGTTATTCTTACAAAGTTAGGACCATGATGGCACTTTCTCTTGCAGTCAACTGAGACTGTGGATTACATAACTTCAGCAAATTCAGATCTTGGCTAAATAATGAGGAAGGAATAAAGGAGGCTGACAGTGCCACGTGTGCACCACGATTTCTGCAAAGCCAAAGGTGAAATCAGAATGCTCTGTCACCTCAAGGAAAAACAGCGGTGTGAAGATGGTGGCCATCAGTTAAGTCACCTGAGGCCAGGGAGGAGGTCTGGAGGGCAAAGGAGCTGAGAGTTGTCTAAGGTGCAGCAGTTCTGGGTGGAACACAGCATTTCAAACAGAAAACAGTGACAACAAGAGGTTCAGAAACAATCACACACAAGTCGGGCCTGAAGGACGATGACTGCCCTGGAGCCACAGGAGACCACAGAAACAGAATGAGAAGCGCCACCAGACGGGACCACCACCACCAGGCCGAAGAGAGTCAGACTCACTGAAAGTGGTCAGAGAGGAGGTAGCTGTGATGGATCTATGATTATTTCTACTCCTCTGTATTAGATGTATTTGAGATAAACAAAAGATCAATTTATTTTTCCATAACTGCACTTTATATTTTGAAAACTGTAATTATGTTCCCCTACTTGAATTGAATTAAGGTAGAATGAAAAGAGGAGAGAGTGGAAAGAAAGAAACCACTTAAGAAGACACTGGTCACTTTTCCAAGTATTGAAATATTAACTCAATGTCCTGGCCAGTAGGGGGAAAGGAAACAGAATAGGTGTGATCTACCGTCCTTTCAAACTTTTCCAACTGGGATGTTTTCTTACCAGTTGAATGTGTATCCTTTTTACTCTTTGAGTTTGTCCTGGTGTCTAGTGAGCAGTTTCCAAGCAAGTCTTGAAGAACATCCATCGTATTTACCGAGGAGCCAAAGAGTGATAGAGCATCATCACAGAGGTATTGGGCACTCCTGGCATCATGAGGACTGAGGGGAAAAAGCAGGCCTCACCTACAGGTCAGTTTAGGTTGTATTCCTCAAGGCAATGCTTTTCCTTTGACAAAGCTGGAAGCTGAAATACGCTGCGTGAGGACACGTGTGCCCTTGCTCAATGACATCACCTTAGCAGTATTTTCAGGATGACTGACAGTTTCATTTCGATGAGGAAGCACTGAGCTGCTTCCACAGTTACACTCACTAAATAGTGTCTCCTTAAAGTGCTCATGATATTTTGGCAACGTGCAATACATTTACAGCGCTTTCAAAAAACGTAAATGTCAATCAAGTAAACTGATTTCAAAGTTCAACCAGAATCGTATAAAATGGCTTTCTTATGTAAAAGTCGTAATTCTCACAACCAGAGCACTAGATAGAAATTCCAAGGTCTGAAGATTGGACCCTCTGTCCTATTAAGTTAGAAAGATATGATTCATCAAAGATAGACCCTGCCTGACTCTTAAAAACAATAAACAGATTCTTAAAATACACTGTCTCAAGTCAAGCAGCCTGTCTGTCTAATAATGCATGTCACTGGTGTGTGAGCATCCATTTCAGTTTCAATTGTTCCCAAACTGTTTTCGTTAAAAGGAATTGAGGAGGAAATTAATATTTACTGAGGTGGTGACTAGGAAGTCCATTGCCATGGCAATTCTGCTGTGTTAACAGTAAGGCACACGATACAGCTTAGCAATAGCAGAGTTCACACTGTTTTAGTATTCAGACAAGATTGTCATTGTAAATATAAATATTTATGGGAAAATTGCCATCCATCAAAGTATGAAGTTACCAAGCTGCTCATTAGAAAGCATCAGACTTACCTGACGTTGCCCTTGGTATTTCGCAGAACAGTTGCTGCAAAATTCTGTGTGACCCCCACCAGGCTGATTCCATCTACTTCCACAATCTGGTCATTAACTTGGATCCTGGAGAAAAGGAGAAAACAACACCCACAGTGAACTCATTTGCTAATGCACTGCCTTCCCAAGAAAAGAACTTGACCAAGAACTTGCTGACTCCAAATTTACCTTCCACACAATAAGCTATCTTTTGAAGATTGCAGAGACAGTTCAGTTAGTACAAGATTTTCCTCAAGTACAGGGAACTGACTTTGACACTCAGAAACTACGTGAAAATGTCGACAGGTGGATCTCTGGGGCTTTCTGACCAGTCAGCCAAGCCTGTTTAGCTAATTCAAGGCCAAAGAGATATTCTAGACACAACACCTGAGGGATGAAACTTGAAATTGTTCTCTTAGCCTCTTAGCATGTGCACATATATGCACACATACCCACATAAATATATAAATGTACATACACATGCAGACACGACAAAAAGTAATTCCACTGAAAGCTAGAAAAGTAATATTGAAAGGATTCAGTTTATCACACATAGTCTTAAAAATGGTAACTATAATACATGGCCGATGTTCACCACGTTTTGTGTCTAATTAAATGAAATAGAAACAGCTGCCGCACCCTTCCAGGCTAACACCTAGTGTCTGTCACTGCTCTCCTCCCCCAGGGAAAACGGCAGGAACTGCATCAGTGCTTCTAATATGCAATGCTCATATGTGTACATGCGTATGCTTATATATACTCAAAGATGTGTTTTATGTATGTATGCTTCTGAGATACATATTATATTAATATTGATAAAAGTGTAAGTACTTCTAAATGTGCACATATGTTTTATATAGGCCAGTTTTTATTCCTCATAAAACACTTTGGGCATGGAATAATGTGGTATGAGGTTGATAACATACACTCAGCCACCCAATTTCCAGCTTTATCAATTTGAGCACTGTGCAATATTTAAATCATTTTTTAATTCATTACAAAAAAAGGGGATGCTCCTTAGATGTTTTCCTATAATCTTATTGCCTGTATTTCTTCAGTACAGCGGGTCACAAACTATTTTCTGTGTGTTTGGCCAATGAATTTACAATACAAATGTATGCTTCACAAATTACAAAGTCTACCTCTCATTACTTTATTCACTCTATATTAAATTGGAGATTTTTCCTCTGGTAACCACAGCTGTCAGGTAAAATAAATTCTACCTAATTTATTTTAACAACTATATCAAATTATTTTTATGCATTTACTTTTTGTAAATAAACATGCATAATTTTCAAATTTAGCTATTATAAACACAGATGTAAACAATCAATTTGCTATATATTTTTATCTACATGAGCCTTAGACTCGACTCAGAGTTTCAATCACAGTAGAAATTAAACAAATGTGTGGGAGTCAAAGAATCTTTGGTATTTTCAGATCTTTTTATATGCTGTCAGTCATGGAGTTTCAGAGCTCACCCAGCTTTATTATTCAGACATTACTACCTACCTTGTTCCTTAGAGAAGGCAAAGGAAGCAGGTGTGCTGAGGATGGAACCCAAGTTAGGCAGACAAGCTCTCCAACCCTAGGCTACAACCCCTGCTGAGATACCTGGCTCCCCAAACACTCTCTGAATCACATTTATTTTATTACTACTTTCTAAAATGACTAGAGCACTGAATAAAATCTTTGACCTGCTTATTTTACGTTTATGAAAGTCACCTTTTATGTTCTTCAGGGGTCACCTGTATTTGAACATCACACTGAAGCGACCAAGAGTGCTTACAAAGTCAGTTAAACTGTGGCACTGCGAGACTCCAACATGCTGAAGCCCGGTTCCCACCCCCATGTCTGACATCAGAGTGATCTCAGGAACAACAGGAATATTATTTGCTGCCAATCACATCTGCTGGCAGTTTATTGTTCTTTCTTTTTATTTTTCTCCTTCTGTACTTTGTATTCTTCTTCATCCCATCCCCCATTTTTGCCATTCTGGTTCTAGACCAGACGATGATGACAATGGGGGTGGCAGTGGTAGCCTTGACCGGGGAGCCGGCATTAAACGCAGCAGTAGGAGGGAGCAGGCTTTTACACCTTCTCTGGAGAGTTGTGCAGGGGTTACTGAACTTCATGCCCTCATGGGATGGTGGAACATTCTAACACACGACTAATTCTCTTCTGCATTTATGACTTCAAATCATGGCACAAGCATTTCATGGCTCCCAGCGGGGATCAGACTTCACAGAAATACCGCTGTACGTGTTCTGAGTTTCTCTGAGGACTTCAGGTGTGGCTATGGTTGCAAACTGAAGCTGTCTGTTCTCTTTAGTTGTATGAATGAACACAAGTGTTTCTTATTATGCGACAATAAAATATCTTCCTAAGAATGGTACTAATACATAAAAATTATAAGTTCTTTGAAATTATGAAGGTGTGACCCAGTTGGATTTTATACTGCAAACAATTCACAATGCTAACTTTAGGTCTATTCCTGGGTTCTCTATTCTGTCCTGTTGATCTATCATTTATTATCATATCTATTATTAATTATCAGTAAATACCACATTTTCTTAAACCCTGAAGCTTTAAAAGAAAATCTTGAAGGCAGATAATGTCCCTTTCCAACCCGTTTACTCACCCTTCAGTCATGACTGAAGGGTGAGTATTTTGGATCTTGTTTCTTTCCTTTCATATAGAACAACATACTCATCAGCATTCACTGTTGTGGTCTGAATATGAAATTTTGCTCACTGACTCATATGCTTGGACCCTGATCCCCAACTGGTGGCATTGTCTGGAAAGCCTTGCTGGAGGAAGTAAGCCACTAGAGGTGGGCTTCAAGTTTTACATCGTGGCCTCACTTCCTGGTCACTCTTTCTGCTCCCTGAGTCAGAAATACGTGAAACATGACCAGCCAGCTTCCTGCTCCTGCCTGCATGCCTTCCCTGCCTGGTGCTGTATTCATCCAGGATGAAAGGCTCTGTTTCTCTGGAACTGTGAGTCAGGATAATCCCCTTTCCTTCCTTACATTGCTCTGTTCAGGTATTTTATCAAAGCAACGGGAAGGAAACTAAAATATCCATAAATTAACTTAATGAGATTATTCACTGAAATTTTACTGGATACACAGATACAACTGAGGAGAAGCCTTACCCCTGACAGTATCCTTCCTACCTATGAGCATGAACATAACTCCAGTTAGAGACCCAGATCTGATATCTTTATCAGAATTCCATAACTTTCCTCATATGGAGCTTAAAATTTTGTCAGATGTACTTAATTTTGGAAGATGATAATATAACTATAATTTTTTCATCTCGAATTTTGTTTTCTTATAGCTGATTGGCTGTGAATGACTAACAGTGAATAACTTTTGCAGAATAGACTCCTATCCTACCAATGATAAAATCATGATGCTTGAGAAGTTTTCTTTTTTAAATCAACGTGGCTGAAGCAATGTTCCTGCAAGCACTGTTTCAGAGAACAAAGTGTCTCTGCGTGCTTTCTCCATTGTCTTATCAAGAGTGCTCAGATTTGCTTTCTGACTTTAAGAAGGGAGCAGGCCTTGATTTTTCAGAGAATGCTTCCAAGCTGGGCAGGGATGCTCCAGTGCAGACAAGAAGTCTCACAGGGGATTTCTCTGCTCCCAAATTCACTTCCTGTGTCCCTGCTGACACAAAACAATGTGATAACGGTAGAGATAAGTTAAATTTGGGAGCGCGCCACAGTCCAGTGACACTGATAATTCTGGAGACAAAAGCAGAATAGGATTTTGAGGCCAGCCTGGACAACTCAGCAAGACCTCATCTTAAATTAAAGCATGAAACAAATGAGAAAGGAATGAAGGCAGAGCCAGGTGAGCTCGGCAACCTCAAGTCTCCAAGACAGGAGAGAAAATAACTGAGAAAAGCGTGATGCATTGAGGGGAACATGGCATTTAAAACGTTACCAACATGACATAAAAAAAAAATCAGAAACATGTTCTTGACACCAGACATATGTGAGAAAGGAATCTCATCTATAAAAAATGTTTTAAGTATTTAAAGCCTAAAAAGCATTAAATGTAGACCCCTAATTCTGTTCCTACTCTTATAGTACACGACTGCCAGCCTCCTTCCGGAGAGCATGGCTCCTCTTCTGTGTCCACATGTTTATTCAGTTGCTTTTGTTAAATGACATCACTACAATTTTCTTAACTCTATTTTGTACAAAACCTTGGATTTTTGACTATGAATTACTTTAAGAGTCATTTCTTAGCTGCTAAAGGTCTCATCTCAGATGTATACTGTCAAAAAGTAGGAAACAAACAAAAAACGGTCGAAGCCTTCTCATCGTGCGCACTTTCATACACTGCGGTTTGCGTAATTATTATCCTGAACGAGATAGACAGGGGCTCGAGGAAGAAAGCGGGCACAGACAACAGCGCGATCTTCCTGAGAACTGGAAAACTGAGCAGGCACTTCTAAATGAGACTGGGGCACACTGTTGTAAGAGTCACACAACTTAATACTTTGAAAAGAAGGCTCTTGGGGCATAAGCAGAGATAAGCTGGGTAGGGTCCTCTTAACGGAGCCTAGTAGATACCAATGAATACACAGAAAACCCACAGTCTCAAAAGCCCAAACCACAAAACCACAAAAGCCGGTGGCCTCCATAGAAAGAAATCCACAACATAATGAGAATGTATGGATAAAATAAATGAGGATAAAAGATGAACAGTCAGCTTTACATGAAAGTAATAAATAATAGAGTCAATACACAAGATGATGGTCTCTGGTACAATTTAAAGGAAACAGAGAAGCCGGGCATGATAGTGCATGCCTTTAATTCCAGCACTCAAGAGGCAGATCTCTGAATTCGAGACCATCCTGGTTTACAGAGTTCTAGGACAGCTAGGGCTGCATAGAGAAACCTGTCTCAAGAAAACAAACATAGAAACAAACAAAAATGGAAACAGAGAAAAGGGGGAAACAGAATTTAATACTAAATTTGAAATAGAAATCAGATTGCCAAATAGGTTTCATATGTCCCATGATTGAAGCGTGAAGTTGAGAGTCTTTCCTAGATGGTCATTAAAGATAAACTAGAAGACGAAAAAGGCCATGGTCCATGAGCCACAGGGTAGGCCCATGAATTGGAAAGTAACCGCTCTGATAAAAAGTTAAGAGTAGGAAATAAATATAGACTTTAACAAGTTTACGTTTAGACTTCCGTATCAATTTTGCTTGTTGTGTGTAATTGTTTTTGTTTTGTTTTGTGTGTGTTTGTTTATTTTGGTAAAATGGAGGAGCAGAGAAGAAATTTCTGTCAGTTATATAGCACAGGCAGTTTGCATGGACCACTTATTTCTATAGATTCTCACTGAGACACCAGTGAATAATAAACTTGCAAAAAAAAAACCCAAAAAAGAAAAAATATACACCAAATAATTTCTTTCTCAAAAGCCGAAATACAGGTGATCAATGAACATTTAAAAAGGGCTCACAGAAAGGAGCTAAAGCTGAGAGCACTTGCTGCTTTTACATATGGCCTGGGCTCAGTTCCCAGCACCCACAATACAACTGACTGTAACTCCAGTTCCAGCAAACATGATGCCTTCTGGCCTCTGGAGGTAGACACATGCTTGTGGTGACAGGCATATATACATTCATACATGTACATGAAGTAAAATAAATTGTCAAAGACAAGGGTGAAAGAAAAAATTAAAAACTGAACGGCAATTACATCATGGCACTCAAATTATTAAAGATTCTATTATATCACAATGTTCAGTCTTCATGGGATACAGCAGCTGCCATTTGGGAGTTCTGTTCTGGGGATCACTAATTGAATAAGAGCACTTTAGCTATTTATTTCTAAAGTATTTAACTTGCATGTAATATACATTGACACAGTAATGCAAGTTACCATTATTTAATTAGTTTCAAAGAAATAACCAGAGATGTTCCTGATAATTTGTAGATAAAAATATTAACATGACTCCCATCTTGAAATTTTAAAAATGCCAAAACATTTATAAGTTCCACATACACACAACACACACACACACACATACACACACACACACACACACACGTATTGCAATAAAAATGTCTTTAAAGTCTATTGTGCAAATGAACTACATATTGCTCTGTAATGCGCTATTTAAGTACTGACTGGAATTAGAGGCTTAGGTTTATTATAGTCAGTCTTTGCCACTTACTTGTGAGTGTACATAAGACACTTTAGCTTCCTTCTATATGCAACAGAAGCAATAAAATGCATATTAAATCGTTATTATTAGCAAGAGCAAATAAGTTAAAATACATAGAGCACAGATCACTGCTGTCACAATATAAGCATTCAACAAATACTCTCTTGATGAATAAAATGTATAAAAATACAAGGCTGTGCAGAAATTCCCTTTACCTGTGAACTTACTTTCAATTTCCCATGTTCATCTGCTGTCTAAAAGTATTAAGTAGAAAATTACAGAAATAAACAATTCCGAACATTTAAACCACATGCCATTTACTCCAAGTAACAGGATGAAATCTGCCTCTTGCTCCGTCCTTCCAGGATGAGAATTGTCCATCTGAAAGGTGTTTACACGCTGTTGTGCTAGTGGCGTGCTGGTCACAGAAGCACTTAGTTATAAGAGGAGCATCCCCAGCATCACAGCGCTTCTGCTCACGTTACTCTTACTTGAGTTAACAATGGTTCCAAAGGACAAGGTAATGTTGGTCCCTAAGAGTAAGAAGACAATGCAAATGTGTCCCAAATAAATAGTGGGAATCCTGTAAGTGAAAAAGTGAAAGCTGCCAACTTAAAAGAGAAAAAAAAAGCACATTTACATATATAAGGACTGCTGAACTCTATGGCCAGAACAAAAGGTAGAGCTGCTGTTCTCCGAGATTTGGCTGTGGTCATAGTTTCAGCCATCTACCCAGACAGGGAACAAGCCTGTGGGAAGCAGGACTACTGAAGATGTCAAGTCTTACTTTACTTCACTAAGTAAACAAAGGGGCACTAACTGAAGAACTCCTAGCCGCGGTTCAGCAGCAGAACATGGACTTCGTTTTCTTCTTTACAGTCTTCACCATTCATGCAAGACATGTTCCTTATCACTTTAAAACAGCATTTCATACACTGACAGTCACACTAACATTTTCAGAGCGAACAGGGAAACAGTCTGAAAGGCTTTCCTCAGCTGAAGCATTCCAAGAATGACTCCTTAAGCAAGGGCATGGGTAGAACAAGAACATAATGAAGCGGAAGGAAGATTCTGAATTTGAGGGTCTACAGTATATAACCCAAGGCCAAAAGGAAATTCTCTAAATGCAATGGATGCAAGAGAAGTAATACACATAATTTGGAGCTTTCACACTTCCATGGAAAATGTATGTCTAACACATAAAATTAACTTAGGAACAGAAAACCAGTATACAGCATGCTCTTAATTCATTTAATGTGTCTGTGTAAACATGATGTTCACACACACCCATGTGCCCAAACATGGGGGAAAAAGACTGTAAAAAGTACTATGAAGAAGAAAAGAAAAACTGTTCATCTAGAGAGGATTTATCACTAGGAGTCCAGGGATGAACTGTCAAAGGAGGTCTGCCAAAGAGAAGGCATGACCTTAAGTAGAGATGTGTGTGTGGCTGAAGAAGAGACCATGGGGAAGCTAAGAAGTACCCAGGCTGCAAAGCATTCCAGCAGTGACAATCCACAGCACAGAGCACATTCTTCCCCTTCCTTCTCAAACTGTCAAGAGGCCTCTGGACTGACTCAGAACCAGCCATAGCTATAGGAGCTGGGCTACTCTTTATGTGTTTAATGTGTTGGCATAGTACTTCTGGGAAGGGGGCTAGGGAAAACTACTTCTCAAGGTGTGTGTCAACAAAGAACAAAGGAGAAAAAGCAGGGACAGTAGGTGAGGCAACATTAATGACCTTCAGGAGACTTTAATTCCATGGAGGTAAAGATCCAACAGCAAAATCCCAACTCCCCAGGAGAAGATCTAATATCAGTATAAATAATGAAACAACACAGGACAGCAAAATAAATAAAGAGGTTAAGTGAAATGTAGGCCCATATTTCTATATGGTATGGCAACCAGAATCCCAGGCCATAGTTTGCACCTGACAAAGGAGGTGGTTGGTCACCTAGCCTGTCGCCATTCCTAACAAAGGATCAGGATAGTGTTCTGCTCCTCCTTTGTAATTTGAAGGATGCCTGAAAAGAGATGTTATATCTATATGTGATAGAGCTGGCATACAGAGCAGGAAGACATAACGGAGCAGGCATAGGTAGATGTGGATGTGACCACAGCCATTCACCTGGTTACCAAAGAAACAGAATGCTAATGAATTTCCCCCTCAGTTTATGTGTTGTTTTGTAAGGCTGTTTGGAGAATTAACACAGATGAATTTTCAGGATGTGAACTCAGGATTTCATGACAGATTACTGAGAATCTCCCTCCCAATAAAGTCATGTTTGTTGTGTCTTTAATCCAACACCTCCCCTTTGGTCCAGAAAAAATAATTTAGGGTCTGGGCTGGCAGTGGACCCCAACAGAGAAATCATATTTAATTTTTAAGACAAGTGAGGAAAATATAAAATGCCATGTGTCTGAAACCAGATCTAGGAGCTCAAATGCAATCTTTTTCTTTGTGCTTTCATTTTGCAATTTTGTTTGAATTTGTGCATAATTCACCTAAGAGATGATGTATAATCATTTAGTTTTGCGTGGTACTAAATATAAGGATTATTTCCTATCTTCCAATGACTTTTACAAATGAGTAGATTTTTACAAGTTTAATTCCTTTTCAATGAGTTACATGATATTAATATTTCCCACTTTAAATTATATACACATATATGTATATATGTGTGTGTATGTATGTGTATGTGTGTGTGTATATGTGTGTGTGTGTGTGTGTGTTTCTAGACACAGTTTTTCTGTGGAGCTCTGGATGTCTTGGAATAAAACCTGCTGTGTAGACCAGGCTGGCTTCAAACTCAGAGATCTGACTACCTCTGCCTCCTCAGTGCTGGGATTAAAGGCACTGGCCATGATGACTGGCTTAAAATTTTGTGTATTTTTTATTTTATATTGTGTTTATGTATGTATACTCATGTCTGCACATGTGGAAATCAGAAGACAGTTTTTAGTAACATGCTATTGGCAACAATATTTTCCATAATTAACTCAGCATCTTTCTTGAGACCCTTTCTCAAAATAGATAAATTGATTAAATAAATCAATTTGGTACCTACTCCTTTAAAGTCTGGTGTACACCAACAAGTATTTTAGGGTTAGGAAAGACAGAGTGCTGCTGCTATCAGTCTCAATAGGACCGTGATCCATTGACTTTCTGAGAAGGTTATATGATATGTCATCTAACATAAGAATGCTATTTATTCAGTGTTCATTGAATTCAGCTATCAGAATCTGAGAATTTTTTTTCTCATTTCTAATATCACCCATTTGTTTCCAGTTTTCCATCAGAAGCCTAGGGTAAAGTTAAGGTGAAACCTTTACATTACAGATACATAACCTTTGACCCGATGCAAGCTGAAACATTAAATATAATTAAACATAATTATCTGGAGCAGGCTGCCGGCCTCTGCTCACAGAGAGGTCTCCTTCTACAGGTCCACGCAGCACTCTGGCACCTATTTCTCTGTAGGAGACATGGAGGAGCCCTTGTCTAAAGAAATTTTAAACCCCCCTCTACTCTGTCCTTTTCAAAATCACCAGAATTATTACCATTCACTTGAACATTTCTGAAATAAAGTTATATGCCAACTTCCATACATCCCACTGAGTAACCAGATGAATGGACAGAAACAAAGACAGACAGATGCACTGTTCTGCTACCAACAGGAAAGTAAGTCAGGTGTTTTAACATTCTAACACATCTGAGAAACACTAAAAAAAAATTTTTTTCATGAAAAGAAGACTCCGATTGACAGAAATTTGCGGGGCAGTTTCCGGGGGTTCAGTTCACAGTCAAGGTGTGCAGCTTACCTGCCGTCCCGCTGAGCAGCACCGCCATCTGTCACTGTCTTGACAAATATCCCCAGCTTCTCCAGTCCTGCATCAGCACCAACGCCCATTCCAATGATGCTTATGCCAAGCCCATCCTCATCTAGAGAAGGAGAAGACAGTGAGCAGCAGTCTCTGCCCTGTCCTCCCTGACCTAGCCAGCTGCTCAGGCTGCTTATTGGTTCCAGCTTTGTTCTTTGTTATTGCACAGGGAAGTGATACGTTTGCCTTCACAGATCAAGGGACCCAAATGGTGCAAGAGTTTCAGATATTTTCTGCTACTGTGGGCAATCCAGTGTGATCCCAGGAAAGACCATAATTTGGTTCTTGAAGAATCAATGGATCTCAAAACAGAGTCTTTGATTACTTTATACCATGTTTTAGACGTGGACAAAAAGACACTCAACAACAATTGTAATTTTAAATAAATGTAACCCACAGTTATTTAGAATCTTTTCATTTTTATCATCTACTCAAGTTAAGAAGATTGCATGAAACTTGGAGTTGGCTCAGTGGTCCAGCACTTTCCTACTGTGCTTTATGTCCTGAGTTTGATTTCTAGCACAATGAAAACAAAACAAAAGAAAAATAAAGAGAACACTCCTCTATGCTTCTATACAAGCAGCTGGACTCATCAGTAACAATATATGCATGGGCACACCTATATGGGCATACAAACATACACAGGCAGACCACACGGATGTATATTTAGCGTTTCTTTCCTTTATACAAATAAGTCTTCATTTCTTTAGGCAGTACACATTTAAAATTCATGATAGCTCATGAATAAACTTTTATAGATCTAAATCATTTCTAATGACTGCATAATATTTATGACAATGTATCACAGTATATTCAATCATTTTTCTGCTAATAATCAGCCACCTTTATTTCCATTTTATTGCCCTGTGAGCAATACTGAAAGTTATATTTCAAACTCTCTTACAAACCATGTGTTTATTCACATTTCCATTTGCCCTTTCCATGAGCAAATGTAGTTCCACACCAATAAAGTATGAAGGCTGTGAAGGTTATTTCTCTCGGTAGCCTCAAAGTCTCTGTAATCATGATTTAGCTGCAGTACAAAAGAAGAGATCCTACGTATTTAGCAGAGAGTCCGAGACGGGTCATTAAAGGAAAACTAACCATAAATTCAAGAAGATGCAATTTTCTTGAATAACTTTCAGCAATTGTTGTTATTATATTCATAATGTGTTTCAGAGGAGGGTTAGCCTCAGTAATCATTAGCTGCACTGGCTACTACCGTAAGGATAGCTGTGTTCTAAATACATCTAGACAACCCTGCATCTTGATCCTGCGTTGGTTTCTAAAGATGCCTTTAGCAATGCTGCATCCTCTTGGGTGCTGTGGTGTCTTCTCTACACGATGATATGAAGTTCAGCCGAAGATTTGACTGCAGCCGACAGCTGTCCAGGGTGAGAACACAAGAATCCACTGACGTGTGTGCTCACTGAAGACCACTGTAACCCTCACACACATGCAATCTCATATTTATTTCATTCAAATAATTTCTCTGATGGAGGAGGGTTATCTGTCTATTGTGTTACTTTCATTGGTCAATAAAGAGACTGCCTTGGCCCCTTGATAGGACAGAAAATTAGGTAGGTGGAGTAAACAGAACAGAATGCTGGGAAGAGGGCTATGAGGCAGACACCATGGAGCCAGTCACCAGGTCAGACATGCCGAATCTTATCCGGTAAGCCACCACCTCGTGGTGCTACACAGATTATTAGAAATGGGTTAATATCAAGATATGAGAGTTAGTAACTAACTCTCTAGAGATAATGGGCCAGGCAGTGCTTAAATGAATTTTAACAATTTGTGTGTTGTTATTTCTGGGGCTAAGCTAGCCATACAGGAGCCGGGCGGGACGAAAAGCAGGCCTGCCTGCAGCTCCTCGCTACATTTCTCTTGTATAAATCACCTGAACTTGATTGGGAGGATTCTCTTGCTAAAGATTTTCCAACTTTCATTCCACTGGGAGAATGTCTCCCCAGAGGTCTCTCGTGCTTGTGAAGGGTTGATGTGTTTCGGCAGGGCTGGCTGAGTGGGGGAGGTTGCATATTGGTCATGCCTGTGGCCTTCTTCCCTCCTACATGAATTTTCTGGTGTGTATCATGGTAAACTGATGGTTGATGTTATGCCCAGGCAAAGGAGTCCCCCCAAAACCAACCAGGAGACCAAGTCCTGTATGTAAAAGCAAGGAGCCTTTATGCTTACACAGTTTGCAAACTCGGTCTCTCCTGTGTCCAGTGTATTAGAGTAATTCCCCCACCCTATTCAGTTAGAATTGGATTTTTATAGTAGCAAAGGTCAGGGTGAGGGATTTCTAAGGTTTAGAACCCTGGATTGGTGAAAAGCATGGGTGTGTGCTGGCAGGTGATCCAACCTACAATGGTTGGAATGTTAGGAATTTCGTTTGGTCTCTTTCTGGGTGGTGCCTGGGTGGACTCAGTTTGTGGTCTTTATCAGAAAGGTAAACTACTGAGACTCAGGCTTCTCTAGAGCTTGTCTGCCTGGGTCCTACCTACAGTTGACTGAGTCAAGCTGTGATATTCACAGGCATTTTCTAGAGGGAATTTGTTCCTACAATTGAGGGCCTTCCAATGAGGTTCATAGCTAGGTCAATGCCCAAACCTTAAGGGACAGTTCCACAGACACTTCCACAGGGAGGAGTGTAACGGGGTTTCTCCCCACCTCCCTTCTGCTCCCTCTTCCACCCCAGGAAATCTCTGGAGAATTAGCATTTCTCCAGAATTCTGGCTCACTTTACAGCACAGCATGGGTTCTCTTCATTATCATCACTACGGGCCGAACTAAGAGTTAAAGCTCCCAAGTTTATTATATTCCAAGGTTTCCTCTCAGATCTCCACACTGTCAAGACACTGAATCCCTACAACTATCCTCATAAAAATTATTTATTTGTTTTAAAATCTATTTTCCCTGCCTCGACTTAGGGCTTCTTACTATTCTTTTTCTTCTTTCCATAGCTTCTCTTATTGCTCTAACTAGAAAGTTATTTAGTTTTTTTTTTTTTTTGATCTGTAGAGCATGTTTTGGAAAAAGTAACACTAGCTTGAGACACCTTGAATCTTAATGCAAACTTCATATAAGAAGAAATGAACAACTAAACAGCAAAATATGGATGGAACGGCATGACCAACTCACACTCCCAGCCCCTCATCTTTCTCTGTTTATAGGGAGAAGTGAAGTTTGGAAATCACAAACTCTTGGCAAGAAGCCAGTAGTGGGTCAGCAAGAATGCTCAACACATAAAGGTATTAAGCTTGCATCCTAAATTCAATCCTCAGAAACCACACAGTGGAAAGAAAGACTGAATTCTGGCAAGATGTCTTCTGCCCTTCACATGTGTACCTCAGCACATGCAACTGTCCCTCTCCTCAGAGATTTAGTACATATAATTTATATAAAATGTTTAAAACAACACAGTACTGGCTCTGAGCACTGGTCTTTCTTCCTTTACACATTTGTGGGGACAGACAAAAGCATTAAGTAGACAAAGCAGTCAGGAAAAAACAGTGGGCCCACATATTACAGAAGATGTTGTCACCTGACCTGGAGGTCCAGGCTTGCTTCCTCTCAGGAAAGAGGCTCTGTGCTGATACAACATTGCTTTCATTGCCAGTGAGATTTGAGCCTGTACCCATTGGACTGTGGGTTATTAGATTTCTTTTCCTGTAAAATGCCAGTTTTTGTACTGAATTTTGTCTCTTTATTCTGATAATATTAAAAGATTTTTAGAATATTTTGGTTATTAATTTTGTTAGCTATAATAAAGTTTTTCATTTTCCTATGGAATTTCTAACATAATTAATTTATCAGGTTAAGGCTGCACACAAATTGGTATTATCTCTATGAGTTCTGCTCCCACATTTTGGTTGTGTTATTCCCACCAACCTAGGTGATAGATATTGTTGAAGATTTTCTCTAAATAGGGTATCATTCCTTTCTAGCATTTGATTTTTATGTGTTCGGAGTTTCTTACACATGATGGAAGGAAGGTGCTCAACAGGGGATTTTAGGTAGACGCTGAATTATGTCAGATTTCATGCCATGTTAAATTCTCCCTCATATGAATTTTTTCTCCTGTATTTTTAGTTTTGTTCACTGACCAGCCACTGTAAGTATAATTTGTCCTGATTATAAAAGTTTTATGTTACATCAAAATATCTGAAAAATTAAATCCCCTATATTTTCCCATTTCCTTTGGGACTGGATCTTTCTATATAAAATACATTATTATTTATACAACACCCTCTTGTAACTTTGTTGACAAGAACTGTCAACAAAGAACTGTCTATATTTATAAAAATTCAGAGCGAGAGTCTGTACCAAGCCTTCTACTCGGGAATATGGGAAATTCATTGGTTGGTTTAAGTTTTACTTTTTTCTCCTTTTCCAGTGTCACTCTACATTCATGGACATGGATACCTGGTCTGGAACCTACCAGATAGTTCAGGCTGGCCTTGAACTTATGGTGACCCTCCTTGCTTAGCCTTACCTGTGCTGAGATGAAAGAAATGAATCACCACACCTAAGAAAATAGCTGACATTTGCTGTAGATTAAAATATATATATAAGAACCATATTTTAAGTAATAAATACAATCAGTATTTTCTTGCTATTTACATGAAATATATTCATATTTTACTCTTATGTTGTGAATATGAATCATGGGAAAACCTATTCATTTTTTATGGATCTGGAGGCAGATCTCTTCCTTCACAATTTATCTTACCAATTCTAATATTTTAAAATTTGAATTATTTCTCATATATATATAGGTGTGTGTGTGTGTGTGTGTGTGTGTGTGTGTGTGTGTGTGTGTGTG